TGCAATGCTCCTGGCACAGCCAGAGCAGGACCCAGCTCTCCCACCCTCCTTGTGGGGATTATGGATGGGAAAACTTGGAATGATGGGATGGGTCTGAAGAAGGTGAGGGCGCCAAAACCCACAGCTGATTCAGGGGCAGAGGAACTCCTTCCCTCTTCAATTTTGTGCCAGCACGCTGGAAAAATCCCATTTTCCTCCAGCTCTGCCTCCCTGGTGTCATCTCCCTGAGCCCCGGCTGAGCTTGTGTCCCCACGGGTGTCCCCTCCTGGCAGTGGCAGTGTCCTCCCCACGGGTGTCCCCTCCTGGCAGTGGCAGTGTCCTCCCCACGGGTGTCCCCTCCTGGCAGTGCCCTCCGCTCGCCCGCGATGCAGTTTGGTCCCTCCCGCTCCCATTTCCCGGTGCAGACAAAGCCCTGGCGCGCTGTGATGAGCGGGACCCGCTGCCCGCCCCCAGCTAATTGCTGTGATTTGCTGCCGAGCGAAGTTTTGGGGCCGGTCGATGAACTCGTGAGTGTTTAATTAAGAGGGAGCCCTAAAACTCGTTGCATCGATCCGCTGCGGGTTTATCTTAATTAGCAGTGGGATGGGGGTGGGGAGAGGGGTGTGAGGGGGGCTGGCGGTGCTGTGGGCAGCCGGAATTCCCATTCCAGGGGCAGGGAGGTGCCGGAGCCCCGGCCTGGTTCAGGGGCTCCGTGTGCTGGAAAGTCTCTCCTCCAGCCCGAGCTTCCCAAGAAAGGCTCAGCAGTCTCTTGTTTGGTCTCAAGGCAGTTTATTGCAAGTTATCTAAAAGATTTTCTACTTGGGCTGCTGTGGTTTGCTCAGAGCTCAGGCAGAGGCACACACACACCCTGACATCCTCTCTGACCCCGACTGCTTCTTCTCTCCCACCCAGGGCTGCTGCTGTCTTTTATATGGTACATTACGTGTGACATGGTTACAGTTTTCCCCAATGCCTATTACCTATATTAAATGGTGCTTTTCTATCTTTTATATGGTACATTACGTGTTACATGTTTACAGTTTTCCCCAATGCCTATTACCTATATTAAATGGGGATTTTCTATCTTTTATATGTACATTACGTGTTCCATGGTTACAGTTTTTCCCCAATGCCTATTACCTATATTAAATGGTGCCTTTCTACTCTAAACCAACCTGTGAATGCCAATATCACCAAGAACATGGAGGTGAGGAAGGAGAAAGAAGGAGGACAGGGCAGGCCCAGATCCCAAATCCATCTTAAAACCTCTGATCCCCATGTACAAAGTAAAACCCCCCCGTGCAGGTGCTAAAACCCCCCTGTACAGCACTAAAAATTTTCCCCTCTACTTTGTGACTACTTCTACTATAATATCTAAACTTTTGTGACTGTTTGTTCCACCTTCAAAGTTGGTAACTCATCCCATGGTTCAAACCCAAAATCACAGCTGCTTCCAGCTGCCTGCCAGGGGCTCAAATGCTTCTGACCAGGGCCTGGAACCTCCAAAAATGTCTGAGGGACATTTGGAGTTCCAACAGGGAGGGTGCCCTGAGCCCCACGGAACAATTCCGGCTGTGTTGGAGGCTGCTGGGCAGTTCCTTGGGATGCTGCTGAGCCCCGGAGCCGGGGCTGTGTCACCGAGGGCCGGGGGTCCTGAAGGTCCCTCCCAGGGAGATTTTACCCCGCGGGGTCGGGGAGGATGCTGCGGGGGCTGGAGCAGCCCGAGCAGCAGCTCTGAGCTGAGGGTGCTCGCTCAGCCCAGCAATTCCCTGGGCAGGGGCACCAAACCCGGATTCTCCCGCTGGAGGTTGTGCCTCAGTTTCCCCACTCATGAAACACGTGGGGCTGGCCTTGGGATGTCCTTGGGATGTCCTTGGGATGTCCTCAGCAGGAGGTGAGAGCCGGGGAGCTGCAGCCACGCTGCCTTTGTGAGTCTCTGTCTCTTAACCTGCAGCTGCATCCCACGAGGATGGAAAATCCGAGATCTGCTCTTCCCACGGAGGGAAAAAGCTGGAATAACACACCCAGGGAACAACTGGGGCAGCTCCAGCAGAGCTTTGTGGTGCAATTAGCAGCCCCTAATTAGCTGATCCATGGGGAAACTGGGGTGTTTATCCCGAATTCTGCCTCTTGGGGATGGAGAAGGGTTTGCTTCCAGCCGGGTCTTCCCCCGTCCTCCTCTTTCAGGCCGTCCCGGCTGGAATTAAGGAGCCGCCCGGGTGTGATCCCTTCGCTCCAGCCCCATGGGATGCCCTCAGAGGCTCCTCCAGCCCCATCCCTCAGCTTGGGGCATCCCTGGTACCCGGAGCTGCCGTTCAGCAGCTCTGCCGACAGCCCCCGACGGATGGGTGGCCAGAAAACCCCGAGCACTGCGCTCCCTGTGCCGTTTATTATTCACATCCCTCAGTTCAGGAGATTTACAGCCCGGCTGTGAGGATTTCCAGAGGCTGTTTCCTCGGAGAGTTGGACTAGCCGGGAAGTGAATTCAGTGTCAGTGCAGTTTTGTCCCAACCCCACAGATGCAGGGGCTGCTGCTCCACGGGTTTGCATCGCTTTTAATTAAAATCAGGGTCCTGCTGGCACCGATCCAGCAGATCCTATCCCAGGGGTAGGGGATGGGATATCACAGCCCCGGGGTGGAGCTGGGCTGAAATCCGTGGGAATTAGAGTCCTCAAAAAGGAAATTCAATGAGTATATGGAGTTTTATGGATGGGGAAACTGAGGCACGGCTGGTATGCACATCCTCATGAACAACCCAGGCAAGGACTTTCCCCACCTCATTAATTCTCCCCTGTAATTAGGACTAATTAACTCAGGCTGGGATGATGCCTGGGACCCCATGGGTTCTCCCCTAATTCCAGATCCCTTTGGGAGCTGCTGGGGAATGGAGGGGGGATGCATACCCGTTTTTTTTCCTGTGGTTTTCAGAATAAACTCCCTCTTTTTCAGGCAGAAAATTGGGGAATGGTGCTGTGGGGAGGATGGAGGGCCCTGAAGCTGTCAGGGTGAATCTGGGCCACCACAAAGAGTGACAGGACAGGGCTGAGTAAGACAAATGGAAAAAAATTGGGGTTTTCCAGGATGCTGCCAACCTGTCCCTGCACCTTGTGGTGTGCCAGCACCCTCAAGTTCCCTAAAACTTTCTTAGAACCGCTCTAAAAAACCATGGCCTCATCCAAAATCCCCATTTTTTGAATTAAATCCATCGCTGAACGTTCCAGAGCTCCCAGCTTGCCTTTGTTCAGCCCTTCCTTGGAGCTAATCCTGTAATTAGGAGCGATGGAGCCAGAAGTAAGTGCTGGGATCAGGGATGGATCCCCCCAGCTGCCAGCCCTGCCAGGGGGATTTACCTGCCTGCAGCACGGCCCCGTTTGTGGGTTACAGCTGGAAACGGCGATCGGAGCCCGACGGAGCCATGGAGGATGGGCTGGAAAATAAATACGGGACCTGGAGGCTTTTCCCATCACAAATCATCCTCCGGGATGGGTTTTCGGAGTGCCCAAGCTCTGAGTGATGGGAAAGTGAGGCACAGCAGGTGCTGTGGGGGCACATCTCCTTGGGTTCCCCTTTTAGCTCCAGATCTCCCCAGTAACCCCTGTCCCGCTGGCCAGTGCAGCACACGGACATTGCAGCCCCCCCAACCTGTTATCCATGGAATTCCCAGTGATTCCTACTGCTCCTTGCCTTCAGCCCCCCGGGTGCCAGGCCCTGATCCCTGATCCCTGATCCCTGTCCCTGATCCCTGATCCCTGATCCCTGATCCCTGATCCCTATCCCTGATCCCTGTCCCTGATCCCTGATCCCTATCCCTGATCCCTGTCCCTGATCCCTATCCCTGATCCCTGATCCCTGATCCCTGATCCCTATCCCTGATCCCTGATCCCTGATCCCTGATCCCTGATCCCTATCCCTGATCCCTGTCCCTGATCCCTGATCCCTATCCCTGATCCCTGATCCCTGATCCCTGTCCCTGATCCCTGATCCCTGATCCCTGATCCCTGTCCCTGATCCCTGTCCCTGATCCCTGTCCCTGATCCCTATCCCTGATCCCTGATCCCTGTCCCTGATCCCTTTCCCTGATCCCTATCCCTGATCCCTGTCCCTGATCCCTGTCCCTGATCCCTGTCCCTGATCCCTGATCCCTGTCCCTGATCCCTGTCCCTGATCCCTATCCCTGATCCCTGATCCCTGTCCCTGATCCCTGTCCCTGATCCCTATCCCTGATCCCTGATCCTATCCCTGATCCCTATCCCTGATCCCTGTCCCTGATCCCTGTCCCTGATCCCTATCCCTGATCCCTGATCCCTGTCCCTGATCCCTGATCCCTGTCCCTGATCCCTGTCCCTGATCCCTGATCCCTATCCCTGATCCCTGTCCCTGATCCCTATCCCTGATCCCTGTCCCTGATCCCTGATCCCTGATCCCTGATCCCTGTCCCTGATCCCTGTCCCTGATCCCTATCCCTGTCCCTGATCCCTGATCCCTGTCCCTGATCCCTATCCCTGCCCCCCCGATCCCTGTCCCTGATCCCTATCCCTGTCCCTGATCCCTATCCCTGTCCCTGATCCCTGATCCCTATCCCCGATCCCTATCCCTGTCCCTGATCCCTGATCCCTATCCCTGATCCCTGATCCCTATCCCTGATCCCTATCCCTGATCCCTGATCCCTATCCCTGATCCCTGTCCCTGATCCCTGTTCCTGATCCTATCCCTGATCCCTGTCCCTGATCCCTATCCCTGATCCCTGTCCCTGATCCCTCCCCCTCCCTGATCCCTATCCCTGATCCCTGATCCCTGATCCCTGATCCCTGATCCCTGATCCCTGATCCCTATCCCTGATCCCTATCCCTGTCCCTGATCCCTGTCCCTGATCCCTGTTCCTGATCCTATCCCTGATCCCTGCCCCTCCCCTGCTCTCTTGCAGGTCGCGGCGCTGGAGAGGCAGATCTTTGATTTCCTNTCCCTGATCCCTGTTCCTGATCCTATCCCTGATCCCTGCCCCTCCCCTGCTCTCTTGCAGGTCGCGGCGCTGGAGAGGCAGATCTTTGATTTCCTGGGATACCAGTGGGCGCCCATCCTGGCGAACTTCTTACACATCATGGCCGTGATTTTGGGTATTTTTGGCACCATCCAGTACAGATCCAGATACCTCATGATGGTAGGTACCAGCCTGGGGGTGCAGCAGGGTCAGCCCCAGCTCCATCCCTGCAGGTGTCCAAGGCCAGGCTGGACAGGGCTGGGAGGGGCACAGTGGGATTTGGGAGGTGTCCCTGCCGTGTCGTGTGGGAATTAGAGCCCTCGCAAAGGAAATTCCATGTGTATTGGAGTTTTATGGATGGGGAAACTGAGGCACAGCTGGTGGATGCCCATCCTCGGGAAAAACTTTCCCCACTTTCCGTGTCTCATGAGTTCTCCCCTGGAATTAGGACTCGCTAACTCAGCCCGGGATGATGCCTGGCGCCCCCATGGGTTCTCCCCTAACTGATGAACTTTAAGGTCCCTTCCACCCCAAACCGTGCTGTGGTTTTGGGATTCCACCACCCAAACCCGGACCGCTGTGGATGCAGCGGGCGGGGCGGGGCCGGAGGGGGATGCAGCGGGGCTGGGGGGGATGCAGCGGGGCTGGGGGGAATGCAGCAGGGCCGGGGGGTGCCCGTGTCCTGAGCCGTCTCCTCCCGCAGTACGCCGTGTGGTTGGTGCTGTGGGTCGGCTGGAACGCCTTCATCATCTGCTTCTACCTGGAGGTCGGGCGCTTGTCACAGGTAACGCCCCCGCCTTCCTCCTCTTCCTCCCTGCATCCTCCTGCCCTCCGTCCTGCCGTTCTTCCTGCGCTCCTCCTCCTCCTCCTCCTCCTCCTTTTCCTCCTCCTCCTCCTCCTCCTCCTCTCCTCCTGCTCCCCCAAAAGTGCCCCCGAGCCCGGGGAGCCCCAGCCCCGCAGCAAGGCGGATGCGGGGGCGCCTCCCCGGAGCAGGGAATTCCCAGGGGATGGGATGGACAAACGGACGGTTCCGAGCGGCAGAGAGCGGCCGTGTCCGAGCCCAAACTGAATTCCCTTTATTTCCACTGAGGGGATAAAGGAGAGGCGGAATTCCCACCGGGAATGGGATGAGCAGTGGCAGGGAAGTTTGGGGCAGGGATGGAGAGGGCAGTGGGTGGGGGGAGGGCACTTCCCTGCTGTATATTCCTAATTTCCCCCGGATTTCTGGGGTTCCCAGCCATGGCTGGACGGCATTCTCGGCTCTGGGACGTCACCCTGCGGCCGTGGGGTGAGGATGTGACCGGGGCCGTCCCTTCACCACACCCCGCGCTGCTCAATTGCGTTTTTACACGAAAAACTTCCCGCGGGGATGGGGCTGCTCTGAGGGAACCTTTGACCCAGGGCGGGGGTCCCTGGGCGTCCCTCCCCGGCCCTCGCGGAGGGCTGGGGACAGCCAGCGCCGCTCTCCGGGCTGCCCGAAGGCTCCGGGGCTGTTCCCCGGCCGGGAGCATCTCCCCGAGCAGCTCCGGGCCACTGCAGGCTGTCCCGGAGCTCTGGGTGCGCGGCAGGCCGGGGAGAGGGGAGGATTCCTCGGGCTTTGCTGGAAATCCCCGCTGCCCGCCCTGGCTCCCCTCGCCCGCCGCCCTGCGCATCCTCCGGCCCCACGAACCCGAACCCACCCGCTCCCTTTCGGC